CTTAAATATGGATAATCCAGGGAAAGGTCACCAGCTTCAACTGCTCTTTTAATAAAAAGGAGCTGTAAAACAAAGCCCAGATAAAGTCAAACCAAACCTGGAAGGGTTGAGCTGGAAAGAAAGAATTGTTTGGCTGTGCCTAACAGAACTACAAAAGTGCTTAATTTAGCTGTGAAAACAAAACTGAAAGGATTATTGGCAAGGACTTGATGACAGAAAATACTGTTGATAGTATTGATCGTACTTGGCACTTTCTTTCTCCAGAAAATGCTTTACAAACACTAACTAATTACCAAAATACAGTATACTTCACACTCTGTGGATCTCTTCTAGTACAGTTTTTAAGCTTTGCTGCTTCTGTGACAGCTGGCCGAAGACTAACCAAAGTATGGCAAAGTTTGTTCTGGTGGAGAAATGGACCTGTTTGAATCTGGTGACTAATCTTGGTGTATGCTGATATACACTGCTTTATCAAACAGCAGTCAGCACTTATTAATGGAGATGCATTTGTTCTTGTCTAATTGGGCATTAAATAGGGATAAAACTTCATATTCGCTCCTAGTCCTTGGGTGAAAGGGCTGGGGAGGAGAAGGAAAGGTGCTGGCAGCAAGCCATGGAAGTTCACGTGTTGCCAGATTTGCTTGGGTCTTGGGGTTTTTTTAAGATAAGATCTCTTTGGGATGCTGTCCTTTATTGCATATTGAGAGAGGCAACTAGAGGAGCCATCTAAAGTTGAACCACTGTTTCAAACCACAACAGGAGGACTAGGAGTGTTGCTGTCTCTGCAGTCTTCACTCTTTCATCAAATGAGTCTCTACAGTGGAGATCATGAGATTGGCCTGCAGAAGAGTTATATACAATTCCAGTTATTAATAGTAAATACTAATAATTAAATAGCTATTACCTTTGCCTACAGTCAGACCTGTCCTGCATCCCTGATATGAAGCCCCTCAAGATTTGAGTCTCTTTGAGATTTTTTTTCTTAGTCCTTAATCAGTAGTTATAGCTGGACAGTTATGATTAAGCAATGGCATTGTGAACCTTGTATGCTTGGCACATCTTTCGTTTTAAGGAAAAGGGAAGACAATCCCAAGATGAATGGACTGTCTGGATGAGAGCCACCAGGAATGAAGTCAGCAGAACTGAACAGTAACTGGGAGAAAGGTAATTCCAGCAGTGAGAGATCATGACCACCTACTCAAAATAGACCCCTGACTCAAATGGAGGGAAGAACTGCACCTTGGATTGATTAGCATGAGAAGCGAGAGATAGAACTAACAAATAGGGATTTGAGTTCTGATTAATAAAGAAGTTATGTAATCTGTAAGCAATGAATGCTGATGCCTTTGTTTGTTAAAATGTATAACTATGTAAAGTTCTGTTGATCAAGGAGACAGCCTTTTGTGGGTTACCACCCAGCTGCCTACTTTGCATAAAGGAGAATAAAATATAGAATAAAAAACAGAAATACCTTGCCTTGGTGTGTGAATTGATGTTGCACACCAGGTAATGAGCCTACAATTGGGACGAGGTAGCTAAAAGCTGAGGAAGTCTCACTTTTAGTTTCTGTCTCCATCTCTCGTGCTCATTGTACAGTGCAGCAGTATGTTTGTGTTAACACAAAAAAACAGTGGCCAGTGCTTTATGATACATAAATCACCAAGCTTTCTAGGATACAAAATCCTTGGTAGCACGTAGACTGTCCTTATCATGCTCTCATGAATGAGGGACAACTGAATTCTTTTACTATGACCACCGGTGTCTATCTCCAGCTTTTCTCTCTTTGCCACTCCCAGAGATCTGAAATGAAAAGAGGGATGTATTTGTAAGTCACAACATCAATTTTCTTTGCACTAATAAGTAAACTCGACCTTTCATTTCAGGTTGAAGAAAATGGCTCTGCAGCCCCACTGCAGCATGATCTTGCCCTGCTGTTGTACCAGGTACAGAGTCAGCAGTGACACTGCCCTGGTGCCATAGTAGGAACCACAACCTCTTTGTTCTTCCAGCACCAAACACCTCAAAAGCCTCTAAAATCTTGTGGTTTTAATGGAGACTATGAGAGGAGTAAAAGCAAGAGTTTTGTCTGGTACAACTCTTTTCCATAGCTATTGTAACTGATTCCTGTTTACTGCATCACAGCTCCTGCATCATCCCTGCAAAGCCAAAAAAGCAGGAGTGAGGTGTGGGATCTCAAACCAACTTGATTGCACCTCAACCTGTGCCAGGTGGAACAGTGTCACTGAGGGAAGGGAGAAGAAACCAATCCCATTTTGGGTAGAAGTCTGCCCAAATGCCAGAAGGCTGCAGTCCAAGTTAGTACTTTTGTTTTCCAGGCTCTAACAAACACCATCTGTATGCAGTCACTGCTGGACTCTCACCTGCGCTGTCACAAATGGTGAACACATGATGAACACATGCCTAACCATGATTTTGGCTTGAGAGGGAGCCTACAGGAACTGTAGCTCATGGCTCCTGCCTCTGGCAATTTGAGGGCAATGTGAGAATCCAAGTACAAAACATCAGGCACAGCTGATACTGACACTGTGCCTCAGTTGTCACAACCCATTCATTTTCAAGCATTTTTTATTTAGTGTATTTTATTAAAAGCAGAAGGTGATTAGCTCCAGATGGTGTTACTCAGTTTTAAATGTCCCTTCAAAGGTAAGAGCTGCTTCCCTATGCATGGTTATCCAAGTTCCACTACAAGCTGAAGTAAAACAGAAAGGTGTGGAGAAGGGCAGCCTAATGAATGGCATCACAGTCAGGAGAAATTAAACAGGCTACGGCTCCTCAGCATCAGTAAGGTCAATAAGATGGGGAAGGTTTATTTGCTGATCCTCATAGAGCAGTGTCACAAGGCACCCCACAAAACTGCTAGGTGGCAGATTTAAAATTAAAATAATGAAGTATTGCTTCATATGGTTCATAATTCAACTGCGGAACTCATTGCCGCCGGCCACTGGAGACCCATCATTCAAATGGCTTCAAGCAGAAATTAGCTCATTCAGGGAAGAGAGGTCTGCCAGGGCCCGTCAGCGACAGAGGTGTTCACACACAGACGTGCTCGGGAGCCCCAGAGCTGTGCTCTGGTGGAAGTATTGCTGTACGTGCTCCTGATTCTTATTCCAGCCCCTAAAGCACTTGCCATCAACCACTACCAAAGGGATCTTTGGTCTGATCCAGTGCAGCTGTTACTATGCAAGAATTCCTCAGCCAAAGTCAGGAAGGTAATATTAAGCCCTACATGTCCCTGTGAAAATAATCGGCCTACATTACATGTGCAGAGTAGGGCTGGGTGTTGCAAGAATATGGGAACTGAGATAAAGCACCAAATGAGCCTACCCCAAACTACAAATCAGAATAAGAAGGCACTAAGGGCTTCCTTGGTCTCAGTCTTGTGATTCTGAGTGTGGCAAATGACTCTTAAAATAACAATGGTGGATGTTGACTTTCATCAAAGGGAAAGACTGAAAAGACCAAAAGTCTGGTATTTTCAAGATGAGCTGTAGGTGCCTTAGGTGGGCACCTCAGGGGTCATGCTGTCCATCCCACTGATGTTCTGACCATATCCCTTAACAGCTTCTGTCACCAAACCTGGTGATGGAGGACCAGTTGTTTTCAGATGAGAAGACAGATGACTTCCCATAGTTCTAGAGATGACATGGAACACTTTGTTTTGTAATGGACAACAGTTTCTTAGGATCCATCACAACCACGGCTGTTGAAAGTAAATGCAGAAGAACAAGGTTGCCAGAAGGTTTCCAGAACCTTAGTGACTCCCTTGTGTTTTGCAACCCAGTGTCCTCATTTCAGAAAGGCAGGATGGCTTGGTGGGAGTTCCATCAGCAAAGCCTTTAACACTTTTTCTTGCCGCAAGAGGCGTTTGTATAATTATCATCCAATTAATAATAATATCATGGTCCTTTTGTTACTATTCTACCTGTTCTCCTTACTATTACCATAGTAAGGGTATGGGCAGGACTTCTCCATATGAAAGGAAGGAATGTGAATTTCCTTTTGTTGAGAATATGTGTGGGCTGTAAGGTAGCAGATTAGGATCCTGATTTTTCTACTGTTACACATTGCATGGTGTTGTCACTCACAGGGTTGGTGCAAAGTAGCTGTATGATCCTAGAACAGGAAAATGTATTTTATAATAATTATGAATAACAGAGGAAAAAAACAAGTGTCTTTTAATGTAGGACAATAGAAATACGTCAAGTATTTATAATGATCCCTCTAATCTGAACAGGACCTGAATTTTATATTTTGGAAGAGAGGGAGTGATCAGACATACTTCCAGTGCAGCTGCCGACAATGCTCTTTTGTAGCTGATTATCTAACTATGATTCAGGACAGTGGATTCTACCTTTTCAGTTTTGCACAGTCCATTTGTTTCCAAACTACTTAGGTTTTCAACAGTATTTAAAGTGGTAGAAATCATGCCAGAGTGTAATATCTCTGCAGTCTTATCCAGGTGTATGTTTGGTAGCATTGGTGTCTGCCCCAGGTACCAGAGTAGTGGTGAGAGCTCCTGCCTGAGAGCTGGGAAACCAGGATACAGCTGGCTCCTCAGCTTGCTGCCAAGGTGCAGTTCATTTCTGTTGTTAAAACCTATCTTGCATGCAGGAAAAGCAATTCCCATTTATTATGCTATAGGGAAAATACCATCTGGAGAGTCTGTGTAGCCTTGTGGTTTTGAGGTTTTTGTTTGGGTTGCCCTGGGAATACTGCAGTCTTTGGATTTAAAAAGAAACCGATGGCCCCACTGCATTTTTTTAGGTGGCAGACCCCTGGGCTATGTGATTTATATATGATTTGAAAATCCTGGGATTGGGGTACGCATGGACTGAGCTACTGTGTTTCTTCTCTGTGTCCTGGGTGTAGCTGGCAACTAGACCAGTGCTAGACATAGTCAGGATGACCTGCGGCTGCTCTTCCTTTACCTCTGCAGAAAAAGTTTTCTAATGATGCTCAAGTCCTGCTTACTCAGCATCTGATTTTTACACATTTTTTTTCAGGATAAATAACAGCATTCTCCAACCAGTTGGCCTCATCCTCCCTCCTGGCCTTGAAAATCTGTGAATCTGAAACAAAGAGGATGAAGAAGGATTTCTGCTTGTGTCAGGAAAACCCTTTTAGTTTTCAGTGTTAATATTTCTAATTTACATTTACTGCTTTCCAAGCTTGGGGGTTTAAAAATGATGTGGAACTGCAACTATGAACCCTCCCTTCCCATATATTGGGACAAGCAGCTATTTATAGCTTTTGATTTGCACTTGGAGGAAGAACCATAAATATTCCTCACTTCAGCAGGAAAACAGTTCGAGCAATATAAAAAAGAGTGCATAGGGATGGCATAGGACTCAGGCTGTGTTGATTAGGCTGTTTCAGCTAAGATTTATCTATTAGAGGTTTTTGAGACTGGTACAGTCTTATCTTCATTTAAAGATAGCACAGCCCTTTGGAGCCAGTTGTTAAGACTTACATCATTAACAGAATGGTGTGCAATAGATGCTCTGTGAAAACAACTCAGTTCCTTGGCTTTATGCTCCTGCATATTTTAGGAAGAGACCAGAGCCTAAAATCACTGATGTGAAAATTTGCATTGTATGACTATGTCTTTGGGGGACATGATAATCATTTGTGATACCACCTTTTAGCGAGTCATCTGTAATGAGGAGAGAGGGAGAAGGGCTGTAATTGTTCTGTGTGTTTGTTTAAAGATTCTTCAAATATATAATTGATAAAATACAATCTCTCATGATCATGTGTAATTTTACAGTGTTAAAAATAACTATCAGAATACATCTTTCAATAGCTTTTACAGTTTTTTTATTTTAACATACCTGGGTAGGAGTTTCATAAGTGGCTTGTTGATGTTGTGGTTTTGATGGCTCCAAGGAGAATGTGAAAGTGCTCTTCCCTGGTCAGAATTTCTCAAGACATTATTTATTCATATAATGAACCTATTCTCGGTATTTCTATTGCACGCAGTTTCCAGTGGAAATAAATGTTCTTCATTCCAGTCAACTGAAATGCAAACAGTATTTTAAATTAAATATAGTTACTAATTTTAAAAGGTTACTCTTGTCTTTTTATTAGCGCTATTAATTTCCTCAATCGTCTTTCATGTTGAGGTCTCACTAAAATGAAAAGCAGTGTAACCCAAACAGTCAGAGCTGTGGCTAAGAGTGGAAAGGAGGAGTCTGGCAGATGTGGCTCCTGGGTCCTAAACATTGCCACTTATCCCATGTGTAATCCCCGGGCTGTGCGTAGTCTCCGACCAGAGAGGTACCTAGTCCTGCAACTCAGAGCCTGCTGTTGCAGAGGCATACCCAGTCCTCTGTGGATCTTCTCGTCATCTCAAAATATTTTTTGCACTTTTACACTGCTTGTTTTTGGCAGTGATGTACATCAGCTCTCTCGGTTTTTTATGGATTTCTACTCTGAGCTACGTGGACTGCAAAATGCTTTGAGATTCCAAACCAGAGACCCAAACCCTGTCTGATTCTCCTTATCCCTGTACCCCTGGGCACAATTAACTCCTGGGAAATGCCAAGGAGCTTTAAGTAAGGATGGGAAGGTTGAAATAAGACCCCAGGCAGCTAAACATTTTTTTTTAATTGCAAACAGTCATAGCAATTATGGTATAAAAATCAATGTTATGAACTGTCAATTATGGATTGCATTAGCTCTGCTCTGCCACAACCTTGCTCGTCTTCACCACACAAATCTTCTGAAACTGCAAGGGAACAAACATTTCTTACCAAGCCTGAGAGCCTTCTGCTGTTAATCTGAATATATTTGGATATCTCACTGAATCTGCCAACACCCATTAGAGTCACCATTAACAGGCCATGATGGGATTTGAGCTAAGTAGTACAATTTACAAAATCATTTGGAGCACAAAAACTTTTGGGAGCAGCTGAGTGGTGAAACCATACTCAGGGGACAAGAGTTTTTCTAGAATGCTGGCTGGCTATGGAGCAGGAAGGCAGATTGAAAGACGAGCAATCAGTCTAGTTCACACCCTGATTAATGAAAAAGGAACACTTGGGCCTGTGAAAAACAAAGGAGCAGCCTGAGGTGTTTTGAACCTTCTCAACATGCAGGAGAGGCAGAGGAAGGCACAAGGGAAGACAGCCAGTCATCAGTCTATCACTCAGGACTGTTTTAACTGCTAAGGAGACAGAAGAATGGGGAAAACAGCTCTCTAGTGCAAAGTCAGAGCATGTCAGATTTACCCCTGTTTCCACTTCCCTCTCCAAGTGCTGCCTCACACTGAGTGATGCTTTGAACACCCATATGCCCGCTGATGATTTAGAATCCATATTTGCATGAAGGGATTTTAATTAAGGTCCTCTGTGGCTTCACACACAAACTTACTGTTCCCTTACAGACGGTACCCATCAGCATCATGTCTTTGGGCCACTGTGGGATTATTGTACCCAAATCAGCTGTAGTGTACAATGTTAATTTGGTGTTTTAGCAACAGCCAGGAGCTCAGTTTCAGCTGCCCATGTGCCTCACATTATTCTGTTCATGCATTTTAGGGTGGGAGAGCCAACCCCTGAGACAGGAAGCTACAGCAGAGGGTCTTGGCCAGCCAGCCCAACCGAGCACAGGGCTGTCGGAGGAGCTTCCGGAGCTGGTGCTTCTATAGGTAGATCTCCTGCCAAATCCCAAGTTCAGGTGTCAAGAACACACCAGTTACTCATCTCTCTCAAATTCACATTCACTTGGGTTTGAATCTCAAACCAATGGCCAAGTCTGACTTTTGCTTTTTTTAATCCCATTTCTAGGTATGTGCAGAACTGCGTTTTGGATTAAACCAGTGTTTTCTCATATTGGGAACAGATTGGAGTGCCTCTGGTATTTGCTACAGGGGTGTCACCGTGCCACTAAGCAGTGGGCTTTCCCGGGAGCTGGGCTGGGCCGGTGTTTGTGCATCACTCTGGCTGTGGAAGCAGAAGAAAATTCATAATTTGTTTCATTCAGCTGAAGCAGTTTCTTATCTGAAGTTGCCCAGCCATGATATAAGCTCAGAAAGCATGTCTGCCTGAAATGGAAGGACCACAAAGGGAACAAGGAGAGAAGGTAACAAGGCAGAAGGTCATACCCCGTTAAAAAGAGAGACAGAGCAGGGTTTGTGTCAGTGGTGGAACTAGCTCATGATGGTTAAGAGGGCTCACAGAGGTGGTGGTGTGGCACAGAGCTGCTTTTGAGTGACGTGTAGTTGTGTGGAAAGAGATAGAGAAGCCCTCTGCTTGTAATTCAGTGTCCCTGTGATGCTGCAGTCAGACCCTGGGCCAGGCAGGAGAACGTACCTGTCAGGGTGATAAACATTCTGTGCTGAGCCACCCATACTGTGACTTCAGCAGACTGTTCTTCAAGCGAATTGCCAATCATCTATGTTACTTCAGTGCAGGAGATCCAGACCTGCAGGCTTTGTCTGCATTATTAATTCTCTCTCAGGAAGAGCCCGACTTGGAGGATGGCCCTGGCCGCAGCCTGAGGTGCTGAGGTGCTCCTCGAGCAAGGGTGAAAAAGCAGCTACACAGGTCTTGGGGGCACAGTTCTACAAAGGTTTTCCCTTGGCTTCTCTGCTTCAAATCATACAAGGACTAAAACATCGGTTTCCTGAGCCTAGGTCTCAGCAGTATTTCTGTTTAAAAAGTAAGAGCGGAAGGGAGCTCTTTTCTCACATATTTTGAGGCTGTTCCTTTGAGGTGTCAAAGAAAAGAGAAACAGTTAGGGAAAGGTAAACAAGAGATGGTTCTTTTTTAAAGAAAGTGGTTAAATGTAAGGCACAGAAGTACTCTTTATTACAAGGAATCAATTAATTCCTTGATCACCTAATAATCAATATGATCCTTTCTACAAGCTCTCATTTGGTGTGTTTTAAGGCGAGAAGAGTTTCTATTTTTGAAAATCTTTGTTTGCCAAGACTTAGAGCTGTACAGACAAATCCATTGCACTTCACCTCGCCAGGATTTATAGCTGCAGTCAGCCTTCAGAGGAATAGACATCTAAGCCTTCAGCAGGTGTGCAGCAACCAGGAAACAACACTGCATAAAATCCAGAGAGGAGGTGACATGATATTTCCCTTGGGATCCTTGTAAAAACGACACGGAAAAGACGAGTCGTGTTTACAGATTGCATTGTGAGCACTGCAGAGAATGTATAAGCCAAACCAGGAATAATCTTGGAAATGACAAGCCTCATTGGAGGTTAACGCTTACTGAGCTGTGGGAACTGGTCCCAGTGGTACATTATTAGCCAGCCTGTAACAAATGTGCTTTCCATGAACTTACATGCCAAAGGCTAACCATCAGCGTGGCACTTCTGAGTTGTGGGTGTACAGTGTCCTGAGCTGTGCTGAAGCCGGAGGAGCCAACAGCTGTGGACACCTGATGGAAGAGCTGCTCCATAGCTGTTAGCTGTGCATCACACCTGCAGGCCAGCTCAGCCCTTCCATTCCACTGATCCGCCTGAGGCACATGATTAGTTCAAGAAGAAAGAGAAGGAAAACCCATGCCATTTAAAAAAATTGTCTAGTGGTGAACTCCAGCTCTCAACATTAAGTTCTCCAAAACAAAATAGATGCAACAAATAAAAGCTATGTATCTCTCAGGGCAGAACATACATGTTGTCTAATTTCCTAATGTGCCATTGACAATTGCCAGAAGCATCTATTTTTTTAGCTATGTGTCTGAATTGCATGTTCCAAATGGATAGTTCGGTCCTTGGGTTGCACAAGTACATATTTTCTCTATTAAAATGTCTTGTTGACTAGTTGGATGCCAAATAAAAGTAATCTAGAAATGTACGCACACCTGAGCCAGCTGACAGTCTGAATAGTTTCTCTGAGCTGGATACTGTAGGTGGCACTAGTGGTGTAGCTGATATTAAATTATGCTGCGATTATCCCCTTTTGGCTGAAGGGGTAGCTTTTTGATTGAGGTAGAGGAGTTTGCAACTGTCTGTAGGGCTGTCATGTGATAAGTTTTATTTGTTTTAACTTCACTAATAACTCTACTGCCACTAGAATGATTTCAAAAAGCCCTTCCCAGAAAGCTGTGATTGACACATCTCTTACATCCAGGCAAAATGCAGAGGTATATTTGATATATGGGAGCCATCATCTGCAGTCTGTGTTGAGTGAATAGAGCCAAACATATTTGCTTGAGCTGCAGAAATGTCTCACTAAAATAATTAGTTTCGCCATGAACAGGAGTTGAAGATTATTTTGTAATCTGATGCAAGCATCAGTCAGTAGTGTTGCAATTAAAAGAGTTCACTGAGATGAATAACATTTTGAATTTACTGTTGTGATGTACCTGCCTGACTGCTTGGCTGCTGTAAATCAACACAACTCCAATGACACTACTGGAAGTACATGGATGAATGCCAACTAGAGATCCAGCCCATTATCAGACTATAAAATTCTCTTTACGAAAGTATTTTACTGGGCAAGGAGTCCAAATCTATATATAAGTTTCTTAATTAAAACAGATGGCAGGAGGCCATAAATTTTATCACTGTATAACACGGACAGGTAACGAGGACACATTTATCAACATTGCAGTGAATCACAGGGACATAAAAGGAAGCTCAGAGAAATGTGCTACCCCATAAAAGCACCAGGACGGACTCACAGCTCCGTGGCTTTAATATTCGGGATGTGTTCTTCTTTTTATACACCTATATCTAAATTCCTGTGTTTGCTGCTCCAGTAGCACCAGTGCTGTGGCAGGGCTGTAGAGCAGGCAGTAACATGTACAGCATATCTTAAATGGGTGAGTTTGATCAAGCATTTCTGTTAAATAGCAAGAGGGAGGAAATCTACCATGAAATCCAGAGGAATTGAGCTTGAGTTGCTGCAAGTAGATTGAGTGTGTTTATGTCTCAGCTCCCTTTATTTCCCAGTTCCTCAGCTGTTTGAAGACTGTTGAAGTAGGTAAA